TTGCATCGATTTTAGTGTTTCCTCCATCAACTGCACCTTCGCTTTAATTGCCTTGTCATCATCCTCTGTGATTGACTTGACAACTTGAATCTCTTCTTGACCATTAGACTGAACTGTAGCAACACCAGCATTTAGAACAAATGGTTTTGTCCCAGAAGTTCCACCAATAATTGGATCAGGAGGGCTAGATGACATTGGCTCCTTTCCAAGAGTAGATGTGGCGATAGAGAGATTTGCCACAGAAACATTTCCTTCAAACAAGGGATTTGTTGTCAAAGGGCCCTTGTGACTAAGGTTGCTTGAAGGGATTGGAAGGAAGCCATCAATTCCTTCAAAGTATTTTCCATATTTTCAACACGATTTTCCAAAGCAACCTTTTCTAAATTAGCTTCGTCAGCCATCTTCCTTGCAAGAGCTCTAGTGAGAATAGGTGAACGAACTTTTGGATAATTCTTTTTAGGACCAATCTTTCAACACCTGAAAAATATAAGCATTATTAACAAATCATGGATTCAACATTTTGAAAGATAAGTTCCCAAGGTTCCCTATCTTCTAATTATTTATTTTTATTTTTACACATGGATTCTTCATTGTCAAGAACAACTTCAACCATTTGTATGTAAAGGGAATGAGAAATTAGAACCAAGCAATTGTCACGCCAGCTAGAAACATGAGGAGATTGCCCCCTTCATGATTTTTTAGAATTTTTTTTTTAAGTAAAAGAATGAGGAGATTGCCTCCTTCATATCTTTTCTTCTTTTTATTGAGGAACTTGCTTTTTCTCAAATAAAATTCAAGAGAATGTGAAATTTGACTTCAAACTTTATTCTTTTATTTAAAATTTCGAATATAACAACTAGCAGATAACAATCATAAACTTTCACTTTTCTTTGTTTCTCCAATACTCTATTGTTTCAAGTTCATGTTCACAATAATCCCTTATCCTCCTTGAAAGCCCTTCCACAAAATTTGAAGCCGCATCATGCTGATTTGGTGGAATAGTACGCTCAACCTTCATTGCTTCAGAGTAGATTCCATTGACCAAATAGAGCACCTTTCCTCCTTCTCTCTTTAATTGATCAATTGTAGCTAATGCCTCACCCAACTGTCCATTTAAGTTTCTTACCTCTGCTTCCAATCCTCTTATCTTCTCACTTTGATAAAATTGTCGTGTTTGCATTAACGCCAATTTTTCCTTCATCAGTTCTTCATTATTTTGAGCTTACTCAAATTTTTGCAACAATTGTAATTTATTATCAAGCAAATTCTCCACTTCATTTTCAAAACCCTTAAGTTGATCAATCTCACCTTGTTGCTGGTTTATTAGAGTCTTTAAATCAGCACTCTAATCCTTGACTTGATTGAGCTCATCCTCCAACTTGTTTTTATCACTCATTAAATGATCATTTGGCCTTTCTTCCTTCTGGATGATTCTTCTTAATTTTTTAAGAGTTTGAGCATGCTTGACAATTTCTTTCTCTGCCTCCTCTTTTTCAAAAGTTATAGAATCCTTTTCTTTAATCAATTTTTGCTTCTCACCTTCTAGAAAATAAATGTCCATATTTTTCTCTCTAATTTCGTTTTCATGCTTGACCCTTTGAGCACACGACAAACCTTCTAGCTCCGCTATTCTTTTCTTCAAATCCACAATGATAGCTTCTTTAATCATAGGAATGTCATAAGGGATAACTATGTCTTGAAGCCAAACTTTCCTCCATTCTTCAAACTCAGAAGTGACTGAAATCTTGTTCTTTGAGAAACGAACTTCACATTGTGACCATATTTCCTTGGCAAAGCCAA